CCAAAGTCTTCACATGAGTTGCCACCAAATCACCGCTACAACCATGCCACTGCCATTGCACTGCTACCAAAAGAGTACCACACTGCCTTGACCACTGTCATTAAAGTTACCCTCACATTGCCACCATCATTGCTGCTGCGGCCACCCTCATTGCACCATATCCATCAAGCCAAGCTGTTGCCTCCACATTCAAAGACTATATATACAACCACTAAAATCCAAATATGATCACCACAACTGCCACCATCAATTATCCTCACTGCTGACACCACACAACTATCATCCCATTCACTTCATTGATTCAATAAAAAATTAAGATGCTGCACTTGGTATGGATTCTAAACATGATCAGATTTAACTGTCCCAATGATTGGATTGCATTATCATTATTTCAAGCTCCTGATATGAATCTCAAATCTCAATACCCTCATCCAGACCCATCCAGAACTCACATTTATTATCTATTGGTTGTAAAAGAATATAAAATAGCAATTTTGTGATGTCATAGAGAGAATTTCATCAACAGAAATATTGCCAAAGACAAAGTTTACCTGCTTCGTGATTGAAGTCGAGTTCTTTTGGAGCTTCTTTGCACCATTCATCGATCATAGGGCTGAAGTTATACTGCGGTTCTGCCCATGCTATCCAGTCAACAATGGATTCTGCATCCTTTAAATCCTGCAAAAAAAAGAGGCATGCAAAATAACCATAAGGACTGAAACATTTGCTTTCCGATGAAGCATCTCAAAAGCCAAACTCCAAAGAATTTCCACCTCCCACATGAGTTTTTGATGTCTTCATGTTGAACTTTAACAACCGCCTTCTGCCCATCAATTAATGTCGCACGATGGACTTGTGCAATCTGCATAGAATATAACATGAGAACAACAAGATTATTCCAAAATGTACACACCTTGTGAGAACAAGAAAATCAAAATTTCAATCCTAAATGAGCATCCGCACTAACTTCCTAGCACAAACATATAGTCTAAGGATCTTACTGATGCTGTCGCCAGAGGATTTTCGTCAAAATCCAAGAAAAGCTCCTTCCTGGATTTCCCTAGTTCTTTCTCTATAGTGTGACAAAACTGTGCAAACAAAAATTTTAACATAACCAGCCAATGAGAAACATGGCTTGAAAATAAAAGCTAGCATTATGAGATAAAAACCAATCAGAAACATCAAGTCAACAAAGTCACATTGAATCACATGAAGACTTCCAAATCTATTAGAAAAAGACTAAAACAAAACCTCTTCAAACGGACGAGGAGGGAGAGAGTCCTGCAACTGCTTGAGAATTGAAATGAAAGCAGAAGGAAGCACATCAGCACGTGAGGACAAATACTGTCCAAGTTTCACCCACAAACCTTCCAACTCTACCATCAAATTAAAAACACGCTTAGCATTCCGCTCATGGGCCTTCTTCCACAATGCATCACTTTTCGGTTTCTTCATGAATTTCTCTCTTTTCTGTAAAGCCTTCATTATAAAAAAAGACAACCACCACAATCAGCATAAGCAATAAACATCACTCAAAATAAATAACTCGTAATCAGATTTTCAATACGGTTGATCCGTACCTTATAATCGATGTAAATTATCATGGCCAACGTAAATACTTTCGCACGTCTCCTGTAAATGTTCCCCACCCCATCTCTAACACACAAATATATATACATATATATATATAGCTAATAGCAGCTAAAATTTCACTCCCCGCCTCTTTCACTGCTTAGTCCAACCAACTCCCTGCAGCGTACCCGAAAAAACATCACAGAATCAAATCCTAATATTCTTTTTTATTTTTATTTTTTGAGAATGCATGATTACAATAAAGTATAAAAATCTTCCAGCCTACCAATACCACATAGGCATAGCCTTATTTCTTCACAAACTAATTAATAATTGTTCGAATTATTACTAAGAAATCAAATTTTTTATATCAAATTGTAATTTTACACTCTAATTGCGAGAATTGTAAAATTAAAGGCAAATTACAATCAAATTGAACAAAAAAAAAATCAAAAGATACCTGATTACAACAGTAGTCTTTAAGTATCAGTAAGATAATAGTGATTAAAAACACAAAATCTAGGTTCAAAATTTGAGAATTTAGAAAAGAGAGAGAACCTACCTGAAGTTACAGGAAGAAAAGTTTGAACAGACAGCAAGACAGTCGGGGAGAGAAAGAGAGGTAAGTAAGGGAGGAATGCGCGAAAATTCTTCGAAACGACCGCCAGTAGATGTCGTTTTCAAATTAAAGGAATCTGGATGAGACAAACCCGTGCTGTTGAAATTTTGATTCCAACTTCTGACCACGTATTTGTTGACGTTAGGTTTTTTTAAATGATTTAGATATTCAGTATTAATGATTCAATAAAATCGGGTTAAAACTCGAAATCGATCAAACTCACTCGGTCAAAATTATAAAATTAATCTGATTTTATTGATTTTAACTAAATTTAACTTATTTCAAGTTTTAATCTAATTTGATATGTTATATATATATTAACTCCTAAAATTATGAGATTTTAAGAGTTAAGTCGTGATTTTAACAACCTTAAGTTTATCTATGATTTTTCAAATACTTTATTAATCGGTTAATTAATTAAGTGGTTGAACTATGATTTTTCAAGTCGTTCAGCTTTGTCGATACATAAACGCAGGAGGAGGGTCGCATGCGTTGTTGGCCCATGCTACCAATTTGGACGCCTTTATTGAAATTTGAAGCTGGAAATTCCTTGCTGGTCCACCAAGTTAAGGAATTGCAAATTGCTTGCATCTTTAATCGTGTTTTGAACTTTCACCGGATGAGATTGTATTCTTGCAGTCTTTATTTTTAAATAATTTTGTATGTTAATGTTAAAACTTAAAAAAAAATAAAAAAAATTAATATATATTTTTTAAAAAATAAAAATAAAAATATCACGTAACTCAATATCA